TTGTCACTTTCATTGGAAGAAATTTGAGGTAACAAGAGATGAATTGTTTTTCTATAGTTCCATAATTAGTGTTATGGTAGGAGAACAACATGTTTTCATATTTTCATTGCCGTGGATTAAAGATGGTTACAGGAATAGATAACTGAAACATTCCTCTATTATTTAATCTATAATGTCTTTCTTAAAGAGAGGTTTTATAGGAATATGGTTTTTCTATTTTTATGTTATTTGTAACAAAATTCTATGCATTATTAAAATATGAAGTCTTTTTAGTATTCTCTTAGATACTAATACATTTTGATTTGATTAAAATCATTCCAGGCCAGATAAGGTGGCTCACACCAGTAATCCTGGCACTTGGGAAGGCTGAGGTGGGAGGATCACTTGAGGCCAGGAGTTTGAGACCAGCCTAGATAAAATAGTGAGACCCAGTCTCTACAAAAAATTAGCCAGGCATGGTGGCCAGGTCTGTAGTCTCAGCTACTTGTGAGGCTGAGGCAGGAGGATCCCTTGAGCCCTGGAGTTCAGGCTGTGGTGAGCTGCAATGAGCTATGATCCGGCTTCCATACTCCAGCCTGAGCAATAGAAAGAGATCCTGTCTCTTAAAAAAAAAAATTTCCATTTATGACAATATAAAAATTATAATTTATATGATTACATATAATTAGAATTTAATTTTGTTGATATTTTTAGGGTGCTTATTTAGGCAATGGGCAGTGTGATCAGCAAAGCTGGAGGGGAGGAAAGAAAAATGTATTAAAATATCCCTATTTTAGGAAGTAAAAATTAAGCAAAAATTTAAGCAAGTAATTACGTATTGTTGTAGTTGGTCTTTTATCCAGAGGTCAACTTTTTTCCTTCAGTGGGCCATCAAGCTCATTCCTGCCTCGGGACCTTTTGTCTACTGTTTGCCTTCTCTGGAATTCTCTGTCCTTAGAACATCAAATGGTAGACATAGCTTGCTCAAATATTACCTCCTCAAAGAAACAGTCTTTGTGCACCTTATTTAATAGTGATTCTTTTTCTTTCAAAGACTCTACAGCATTGTTGTGTTTTAGATTCTTAAATGCATGTATCATAATTGAAATGACCTACTTTCTTTGTTCACTTCTTTATTCTTTGCTTCCCTCCATTGGAATATAAACTATATCAGAGCAGCAACTTTGTCTTAACCACACTATCCCCAGCATTTAAACATTACTTGATACATAGTAGATACTTAATAAACATTTGTTGAAAGAATGAGTCAATGAATGAAATTTAATATACTTGAGATATTTCAATTTATTCAACAGTCTACAAATACTAAGGACCTATGTACCAGACTCTGTTCTAGGCACTGAGGATGTAACAGTGAAGAAATCAAAGTCCTTCCTTTCATGGTACTTAGATTATAGTGAGTATAGGTTGAGAGAGGGAGGAGTTAAGAAATAAACAGATAAATATGCTCTCAAATTATAGTTGGTTATAATAATTGCTTGTGTTGACTCTTCTATGGATGTTATCTGGCGATGTCAAATATTTTTTCCTTTTTTTTTTTTTTTTTGAGACAGGGTCTCACTCTGTTGCCCGAGCTAAAGTGTAGTGGCATTATCAGAGCTCACTGCAACCTCAAACTTCAGGCTCATGTGATCCTCCTGTCTCAGCCTCCGGAGTAGATAGAACTACAGGGACGTGCCACCACACTGGGCTAATTTTTCTATTTTTTGTAGAGATGGGGGTCTCGATATGCTGCTGAGGCTGGTCTTTAACTTCTGGCCTCAAGTAGTCCTCCTGCCTTGGCCTCTCAAAGTGCTAGGATTATCGGCGTGAGCCACTGTGCCCAGCTAGATGTCGAGTACTTTTAAATTTTGTTGTTATCTTTGCTGTGTTTACTTAAAAGTTCATTGAGAGATAAACTTTATTAAGTATATAACTCCTATTTTAATATGTGAGAAAATGATTCTATTTGGAAAAGGACTTTAAAACAAGCTTAAACTAGATTTCTTTCAATTTGCAGATTTTGGAAGCATTTGCTAGTTCTTTGATTCAGAGGAATGTTTTGAGAAGGGATATCTCCAATCTAACGAAATACCAGGTAATTCTGGCAAGAGATCAATTTAGGAAAAACCCACCTCCAAATATTGTGGTAAGTATTTTTAAATAAATTTTGGTGATAGGTTAAATTTTTACTCAGAGATAGGATAAAATGTAAATAATGACTTCTTTGGGGGCATATATAAGCTCATCAAGAATTCAGAAATGATTTACATAGTTTATAAAAGCATGGAAAAAACCTAGCAGAAATATAGTTTAATGATTTAAATTAAGATAAATTTGTATTTTAAGTTTATTTAAAGAACAATTGATCAGTTAGTCTATTCTTACTTTGTAAAGTCACAGGGCCATGAGAGGCTAAATTCTAACTATATTTTAGACCTAGAACATTTAGTTTTACTCTTATGCTTTGTTTTGTTTTTTTGGAGGAGAGGTAGGTAGTCTTGATACCAGAGGTTAGAAAGAAACATCACAGCAAGCTTCTTCTTATTTCTTTTTTTTTTTTTTTTTT